TTATCGGTTCCTCAGTCCCTGAGAATGCCAGCGTCTTTCGTTGTGAAAGTTTTGATACAAAGGGGCCAAATGAATACGGGTTGGGGGTCCTAGCCATTCCCATATTATGACCAAGAAGCTAAGTAACCTGGGGTTTTGCTGACTCAGTGTCGAATCGTGGATTTTGTCCGTGTCGTCAGATTTTTTAATTCGTATATAAGGTTATGAATTGAGGATCACTTTGGTTTCCAAGTAATGATTCAGGAGAGCCAAGAGCGGACCCGGGGCAAAGTAGGGTAGCAGGAACTTTACAGATTGACCTCTATTTCAACTATTGGGGTCCCCCCACTCTGTCCCATTCCTCCCGTATGTGATGAAAAAGCACGATTTAGTCAAAATATACTCAGCCATTCTGAACTAGAAGCGTTTTATAGAATAAGTTGACGGACCGACAGGCGTCAGACGCCACACTTTGTTAAGATTACATCGTCCTTAATAATTCCTTTAAAATTGACAGGTGGACGTATGAAGTATGTGCAGCCCTTTGACCTGGAACCGGCACCGGCGTATGTGACAGTCGCACAGTCTACAAACGCGCAATTTGCAAACGTTCACGCTACTGCATGTAGTAATTCACTTAACAAGCTGTCAGAGATGAGTGCGATGAATTTTATACCTAACTTTGAAAGTGGCTGTTCCGTCACCATCATTGTCAACAATTTTTACAAATGAAAATTGTATAAATATTTCAAAAATGTGATAGTGTGGACATTTTACACGTGTTACATATTCACATACGTTAATTTAATAATTGTTTGTTATTTAATTATGTTGTCTTTTCACTCCATTTCCTAGTATACCAGGTAGTCGTGCCTTATCATATTTCTTATTTTTAATCGTAATGATAAAACAATTGATGCACTCATCATGGAATGACATGACGATTTGCCCAACCTTGTGTCGTTATGTCACCCTCGGGAGACATACCGACTCCAAGGTGGTCAAATCGTCATGTGACCCCATAACGAGGGCATCAATTGTATAGTATCACACGTAGTTTGTTAATAATTTGTTTTACAAAAAACACTTGTTGTAAGTTTAAACCATATTTTATTCCTGTCAATTTACATGTACAATTACAAAAGACATTTCATTCTAATGATCAGGAAACAAGTACTTTTGAACTTATAGATAATCCTTCTCATCTACTTGTTGTTAATCAATTAGCTCTCATTATGCCTATTCATTTGACTAGTTAACACTTCATATGACGAGTGTTCTGCCTCTGCGTAAAAACACTGCGAAAAAGCAGCTCTTTCATAATTCTAAATCGCTAAATTATAATCCGTGTAAAAAAATGCTAATTTCGGTCAAAATCACGAATGTTTAAGCCCACGGAAATAGCCTAGTATACGGTATTTTGAAATGTTACTGAAATTCTCAGTATTGATGTATTAATATCTACATAACATACGTTGCGGCTCTAAACCCAGTCTCCCCATAAGATAGCCATGAGAAAATGCATAGCTTTTCTTATTACCTAAGAGGACATTTTTTATCAACTGAAAATGAATAGTCCGATCTGATCTTCGCTCTCCGGGAAAAACCATATAGTAATTAATCACTACTACTTTCTTTAAAAACAAATACCCACTTCATATTATTTCACTTAACTTTCACTTTCGTTTTCTATTACAACTCTTAGTATAGGAAGCTCGGGCAAGGCTGATGTCTGACAGCAAACAGGGGTATAATACTCTGTAGATATCAACTGTACATATACTAGCAACAATTTTTAAGAAATCAGAAACAGCAGAAACATCAATGATGTCATTTAATAAAAAAAAAAACTAGAATTATGTCAGTGTGACATTAAAGCCGCTCACCACTTTAAATTTAATTGCTTCAGTAACACGTTGAGCATCAATATCTACTATAATACCTCAGATATGTGTTCTGTATTCTGCTAATTGAAAATCAGGTCATGTGATGATGTTGCCTTTGGAATTTCCAAAATCAATCGCCTCTTAGATGATGCCTTTAAAACATTCTCCCTCTCCTCTTTTTTCACCCTCTTTAAGTGTGACGCATTGTTGTAATTTCATTAGTTAGCATCCTCCGATGATGTGACATGATCATTTACGTGCATAATGGCAATCGGTGAATGGATAATAAAGAATAGGTGCATTTTGTGCTAGTGAACTGAAGGATAATTAACAGTAGTGGGAAAACATGCATGGATAAAAGAGACATTGTACTCCTTTTATTTTTATTTTTTATTCAAATTAATAATAATTATTGATATATATAGTGACTTTATTTACCGTCATTGAAGGAATATATTTGAATTATATTTCCCAATGCGACTTTACCAACGTAAGAGTGATTTCCCTTACACCGGATCGGATAATATTTTGACACATGGCGAATTCTTGTCAAACAGCAGCGGCATTTGTGTCATGTTGTTAAATTGTTACATTTTCATAAATTCATACACCAGAAAAAGCATGCTGTGTTATAGTAATGTTTGAAAAGCATACACGGTTCACATATCGTCTGGTCTCAGAGCCATTACCGTTAATAAACTAAGCACGATTTGTCATATTACGTTCCCGTTTGAAACATCAAAAAAAAGGTTATACTTCATCACTCATGCGGTTTATAAGTATATATATTTACTTCTTCCTTCTACAGACAGCGTCAATGCTTGACAGTCTTCACATGTGCTTTCTCGAATCATATGTGTTTCACACGTGTAAACCTCCTCAGGCCTCAATCCGAGTTGCTAAAACGCTCAAACCCAGTGCACGAATGCACTGGAGATAAACATTTTGTTTTCATCAATTATTCAAAGTATGGATTATTATTTAGAGAAGAGTATCAGAAGACTTTATGTAACCCACAGGTGAGTGTCGGAGATTCTACTTTCTGTTTATGATAACGAAACTATATAGCGGATGCATGAAAGAATGAATTATGCGCACGCACCCCGAACGGAAGTGGGTCCGTCATTTCGTTCTCTGAACAGAACTAATTAGCCGCTCGACTCTCGCCAAGAGCGGCTTAAGAACATTAAGAATCTATCTGAAGGTAAGTCACAGATCTGGTTATAATTGGATGACAGGTACAAAAATTCAACCACAAATTTTGTTTTTTGTCTGACACGAATACACAGCAATAACCTACCATTTCGTACCTACGGTGCAATTGTAAAGTATTACCGATTTTCCAGACGATATTACACAAATTTCTACTTTACATTGTGACTCTTAAAACCAAAACCCTACGTTCACGATAAACCCATATGGAGAAATGACGGTCACTTTGTTAATTTGCATAATCCGCCATCTTGGATAAAATGGCGGCCATTTGGCCCTTTGGGATAACACTATGGGCTTAAAGTTTTTGCGTTTATCGGCGGGATAGTAATCCAGATATTATTGCCGGGATGTCACATTTCCCTACACACCGTCTAAATATAGGTTACAAGTTAATTAGCGCGATCCATTAAAAACTCGAGGTTCCTGGAGTAGATGAACTTTTGAAGCGAGGGCGCCTATATGTTCTATTCAATCGAATACTGGAAAACGACCAAATAGCCATTTTCTGCACTTTCGATCGAATTTTTCGATGTTGTCTCTAAGACCTAGATAAGTTGCCGTGATTCGCTCGGTAACTTCCGGTTTAGAGAAACACTGTTTATGAGGTGTTTTAAGAATATTTGCAATATCCGAGGTTCCTGGAACATTTGAAAAGTGGATTTTCTTAAATGTGACATAAAATTAAAAGGGGCACCATAGGGGATTAAGTAAAAACATCGTATTCTTCTGAAAGTGAAAGGAGTCTCCATGTTTTTGTAACACTCTCTCGACTTGAAAGAGTCACCAAAAGGATTCATTTAAAATATTTACTTATTCAATCCTTTCAGATAAACTTAATTTGATATATATATATATAATACTGTGGGCAGAATTACAAGAATGCTAGTGTACACGAATGGCCACGTGATTCGAAAAACATAACTTAAAACTTCTCACTGATCTTACATGTTATATGTAAATTATTTAATATTTCTTTTTAGGTATTTTTTTCCAGGACATGCCGTGACATAAAATTTGTCCCTGTTTCAGACAACGTTGTTTAATAAATGTGTAGACAATCTGTTATTCTAAGTTGGTAACACATATGAACGTACGTGCTCGATCACCTCATAATTTTTATGCGTCAAAATAGGAGCAAAAACGGATTTTCAGGACGAAAAATTAAAGCATAATGATACATGTACTTGAAGCTTATCGATGTTGTTATATTTTCTAATTGATAAGTCAATCTGTCTGCCTTATTGTTGAATGAAATATGTAAATTTATCAGTCGTTCCAACTAACTATATTTAAATTCAACATTTGAAAAAGAGCTGGTATTCCAGCCTAGCCGCCGAAATAATCATCTGAGACATATAAATTTAATCCTTCGCTCCGGGATAGTCTGGTTCACGTCTTGCACCCCTCATCTGTTACATATAGATATACATAGTCCTCAGTATATTAAGTAACATCCGTCAGCCCGTGATTATTCTGTCCTTATTGTTTTAGAATCTTTGTATCATGTATACTAACTGTACTGACTACTGCAATATATATGAGATTGCAATCGTCATATTTGGTCTTGTTTTATTCTAATTATGCAATTTTTTTAAGATACCACACCTTTTAATTTTGTACACAAGTTTGATCACAACTAATAGGCTATAGATTCACTTGTTGAAATTTTAGTTTTAACCCAATCCTGCAGTTGAATTACATTACCCCTTCGGGGGCCCCTTGAACTTTCGCAAATTTCTGATTTTAAAACAGTTGTGAAACGTTAACCACGAGGATTTTGGTGGTTAATGTTTCACAACTAACATCTTAAATGTCTTCTTACATATAAATAAAATAAGAATTGTATATGCACATTGTTTATGCTCCTTCATCGGTAGTATAGAATGTGCGAGAATAACAGTTGTCTGGCTATATATTCTATATTTTTCCTTATATTAAGAAGTTGTGTAACTCCCGTTCCCGTAATCCCACTTTCGTAATCTCCAACAGTTCTTGGTACTGTTGTGGAGTTATATTCACTGAATCCGGAACTGATGGTCCGGCGTCCGGGTCCCCTGCAGGGTAGTGCTACCTGACTACCGGACTGGGAGGACCTATTCCCCAGCGCTGACGGTCTGCGACATTTGTACCGACGTTGTCAACCCAAGTTCAAGATACCGACCCACTCAGGTAACAGTCTTGAATATGTGAACCCACAACAGTACTTTCACTTTCCACAATAATATACGGTAATCCCACCTTCGTAATCTCCAACAGTTCTTGGTACTTTCACTTTCCACAGTAATATACGGTAATCCCACTTTCGTAATCTCCAACAGTTCTTGGTACTTTCTCTTTTCACAATAATGTATAGTGACTCACTTTCCCTTTCACCAACAATTCCTGGTACTTATCTCATACAGGCTACTTCCGATATTTCTTGGTACTATTGCTTTCTACCTCGATCCATGGTACTTCCGCCTTCTACAACCTTTACGTATATATATATATGTTTGTCCTATTAACACTTTCCTTTTATACATGTAGTGTTATCAGTTAATATTTTCACATTCTACATAATCTTATTCAATTTTTCATTCATATTTTGAAAATAATCTTAATGTATGCAAGATTGTAGTATGGTGATTTCATTTAACCAAATATTCTAAATTTCATTCCTGTTATTAGTTTTTTTGATATTTCAATTTCTAAACAATAAGTTTTGCCTTCATTAAGTATCATTATGTGACAACACACCAAATATATAGATTGTATAACTCTGGCTATGCGACTTTATAATCTGTATTTTGAATGTTAAACGATTTAATTTAGAAATAACTTGTATCTTACATAAATTGCTAAGCTATGAAGGATATGTCAGAGAGAGGGTCGTAGCGATTTGTTCTGTGTTGTATGTAGTTCGCTAGAGATGGCCCAGCGTTTGAATCCAACATATATTCACACAGACTGACATTCAGTCCCGGAAATTAAATTAGTTTTCATAAACCTTGTCTCGAAGTGCAAACAAACAAAAGACAAGGGGGCGTTAAGGGTCATTCCGGCCTCATTAGGAATTTTAAGTAGTTGTTATAGTCCTTCTACGTTAAAACTCGACAATTCACATTGCCCCACGTTTATAAACAATTATTTCATAACATTTCTGTATTTAAACGTTTCGTTATTACAGAACTGGATAGATGTAACGTTTCCTTGTTTTATGTAACAGGTTCTGTAGGAGGTGTCACTTTATAATAGCATTATCATGCAGTGTTTGTACATTTATATTCTTCACATATTCTATTAAAGAACCCGCATTTAAACAAAGAAAATGGAATTGAACATACAGTTATTATAAATCGAAAGTAAACATATGGTAATGCGAAAGCGAAAGTAAACGTATAGTAGTTCCACGAAGCTATCGATTCATTGCTTCTGTAAATCATAGTAAGATTAAACTTTACTGTAGGGTCGGCTGTGATACGGGGAGCAACAAGCAGGTACGTGCTTTTATTATTCTCACATTATTATTCTCACATTATTATTCAATTTGACTTACTTAGCACTTGTATACCAACACATTTTCTATAAAACGTGTTGTTGTTGTGAAAATTCCCAATGTTTAGACGACAGACTGACCATGGTTACAGTCGTATGTCTACATAAATACTTCTTGACAACTGTAACGTTATTGAACTCGTCTAATAAATTCAATATGACATGGACATGTATGCAAGATCCTTTCTTTATTTGTACTCTACACTACGCGCCCAGAAAAGCTGTACAACAAACGCCGGCTATTGAGATATAACCATGTCATCGACTTTTCATTGGGTATCTTTAAATATTTTTGTACGACATATAGTATTTAGATAAATTATTTTTTAAAATCTCACTTTTGGTTTCAATGTTGAACAGTTGCCAAGGTTAGAAAGGCTATGGGTTCTGTCCCAAGGCCAGGACATACCAAAGTCCGTAAAAATGGCAGTTTTTATTCCCTGCTAAGCGTTCAGCATTAAAGGGTAATAGTAACAACTGATTAACAACATGCCTTTGCGTTAACCAACTTATTATAACCTTATTTTAATGACAGAACTAACTGACTAGCCGTGTGACTAGCGAGATGAAAAAGATCAGAACGATTCGTGGTGTAAAGGTGTGATAATATGTTTTCTCCTACCTCAAGATACACCAAGGTTTTTCATATATTATTTTTGCTATAAATATTCAAAATGTCCTCACACACTCTATTCCGCTGTTCTAGTTCTAGATCTCTTGTCTGGACGAGTATTTTGGTTGTTCTCGTCCTCTATGTTTTTCCGTTAGAAATGCACTCCTTCCTCCCTATTCTTGCACGTTTATGAACATATTTGACTTCTTAAATCAAATAACTTATTACTTTAAGATTGCATTTCTCATGTGTGGATATTTTGTTTTGACTGATACCTTTTTTCTTAACCATCACATTAGTTTTTTGAATGACATCAAACAGAACGTGCTAATCAGTATAATTATTTGCTTGCAGACAAAGAAAAAAATGCCCAGAAGCTACGTAGATAATGCCTACAATCGACGTCTGGGGAGAGTTGGCATGCCCCTCGGGAGCATGATTGTTTCACGGGGATCATCCGGGTTCTCTTCTTCTAAAACTTACGTAGATAATGCTTACAATCGGAGCGTTGGAAGAGTTGGATTAGAGCATGGAACAGCGGTGATCTCAAGAATCTTCTCCTCATCAACAGAAAGGTATTTCCCTGACACCTACGTAGATAATGCTTACAACCGGGGCGTTGGAAGAGTGGGATTAGATCATGGAACAGCGTTGATCTCGAAATCGTCCTCATCAACATCAGAAATTTCTCCTGCTAAAACCTACGTAGATAATGCTAACAACTGGAGCGTTGGAAGAGTTGGATTTGAGCATGCAACAGCGGTGATCTCGAAATCGTCCAACTCATCGGAAAGTTCTTCCCCTAGGACCTACGTAGATAATGCTGACAACCGGAGTGATGAAATAGTTGGATTTGAGCATGGAACAGCGATGATCTCGAAATCGTCCATCTCATCGGAAAGTTCTTCCCCTAAAACCAACGTAGATAATGCTAACAACCGGAGCGTTGGAAGAGTGGGATTAGAGCATAGAACAGCGTTGATCTCAAAATCGTCCTCTATATTATCAGTGAGTTTTTCACCTAAAATCTACGTTGATAATGTTTACAATCGGAATATGGGAAGAGTGGGATTAGAGCAAGGAACAGCGGTGATCTCGAAATCCTCCTCCTCATCATCGGAAAGTTCTTCCCCTGAAACCTTCGTAGATAATGCTAACAACCCGAGCGTTGGAAGTGTGGGATTAGAGCATGGAACAGCGGTGATCTCGAAATCGTCCAACTCATCAGAAAGTTCTCCTCCTAAAACCTACGTAGATAATGCGTTCAACCGGAGCGTTGAAAGAGTTGGATTAGAGCATGAAACAGCGGCGATCTCGAAATCGTCCTCATCATCGTCAGAAAGTTCTTCCCCTAAAACCTACGTAGATAATGCGTTCAACCGGAGCGTTGAAAGAGTGGGATTAGAGCATGAAACAGCGGCGATCTCGAAATCGTCATCATCATCGTCAGAAAGTTCCTCCCCTAAAACCTACGTAGATAATGCGTTCAACCGGAGCGTTGAAAGAGTGGGATTAGAGCATGGAGCAGCGGTGATCTCGAGATCCTCCTCCTCATCATCGGAAAGTTCTTCCCCTGAAACCTTCGTAGATAATGCTAACAACCCGGGCGTTAAAAGTGTGGGATTAGAGCATGGAACAGCGGTGATCTCGAAATCGTCCAACTCATCAGAAAGTTCTCCTCCTAAAACCTACGTAGATAATGCGTTCAACCGGAGCGTTGGAAGAGTGGGATTAGAGCATGGAACAGCGTTGATATCTAAGAGTTCATCACAGTCCCCAAGTGCGACAGTTTACGTCGATAGCGCCTTTAACCGGGCACTCGGACGTGTCGGCATGCCGCTCGGCTCTATGGTAGTGTCATCAGGAAAGTCTAGTACTAAAACAGGATCACCTGTTAACCGGAAGGAAAGCGACATCACAATAAACATCAGAGACCTAGTACAGGGATATTGCGAACGACCGGTATGTATCTCGGAATATCCTTTGTTATACCGAAACCTTTCAAGGTAACAGGCTTTATTTTGAGGGTATATACTATATACATAATATATATCATTGCTTCACAACACAAGTGATCAAGTAGTTAACGAGTTTGGAAATTACTTTTGGAGTTAATTGTTCCGGGTTCCATTCATTATTACTTCCGTTGATGTAGCTATTAATGCAATACATTACTTCTTACAATTAAGTGATGAATACAATGCAGTTTTATTCAGAAATGTATTTTGAATACTATTCATTATTAGAAATCCATGAAAATCAACACGAGCAATTGATGTAGCTGAGTTATGTGTTCCGAGATTTGCTATTTAATGTTGCATTGTCCTAATCGTATTTTTTTTTACATTTCATGACCCTTTTTTGTTCTTTTCATTTTCGTTTTTTTATAACATATTAGAATCCTCTCTTATGAGATTCTCCGAAGGAATATATTCCGTCTTCGACTGTTTTTATTACTATTTAAAGTATAAGGATATTAATGTGTGTTAAATGGGTGAATATTTAAAGACGTGGAAGACAATGTTGGAAAATAGTTTACGACGTCAGCTTCGGCTGATTATATTTCCTACCTTTTCGAATCTTAGGTTATATATTCCACCATTAATACACATTCATATATTAATCATATTTATTCTACCCTGTACGTTTAAATGCAAATTAACTTTCTTGTTTAATACCGTCTCCATACGTCTAAGTTATGCAAGATATGCAAGATGACCTATATAATTCCGTTATACAAAGTGCTTTTTTTTTTCTTTTGCGCATGTAAACATTAGTTGCATCACACTCATACATTTTGTATCTTCATTTCACAGTGCTTTTTTTATCAATTTTGATGTTGTGCACAGTTGTCCCAGTCTGTAGGTTTATACATATTTCGTTATTTGTTGAATTCCGTCTTTGCGTTTTGCAGAGTTATCTTCTCTTGAGAGCAGGTATTGATTGTTACGTCATTCATTTATGAGAGTAACGTCATCAATATTTGAGAAAACGACGTAATTTTCTCACACAAACCAATGATGTAACAATCAATACCTGCTCTCAAGAGAAGATAACTCTGCAATACGCAAAGACGGAATATCGTAAATATGCTACAAATGATCGTAAACAGTGGAAGTCAACATTTGATAGACTTGTGAAATCTTTTCGTAGTAGGCTCGGTGGATTATTCTGATTGTGAGATCTTAAAAATCTTTTTTTCGTTATCTATTTTCTAAATATACCTTCTATTGCATGTAACGTCACTCGACTAAGGAAATATATCAGTCACGAGGCTCTTTGATTAATATTTGAAATAGAGGGAGTTTTTGAAGAGCATTGCACGCTCATGGTTTGCTATAAAATAATGCATCGCACGCTGTTAGTATCGGCTAGTATTACACTGTACATGGTTATCAACCAAGGAAAAATGTCTATACATCATATACGTGCTATTGATTGGGATAATCCTCTTGTCTATATTGTGTTCATTGTCTACTTTGATGTTTCCTCCTGTATAAGTCTACAAATATGTTTTTAAATAATCTTTTAAATAATTGATGTTTAGGTTTAACCACAATTCCGCGCATCTTTAGTAAGTTGTATATATTTTAAATGAGTCCTATATATAATGGTAAGTATGCCTTTTAGTTCTGTTTTTCATTTGTCTTTGAGGAAGACGATATGGACCTAGGAAACCTACAAGAAGATCCTCTGTACGCCGAGGAAGCTTGTGAGCAGGCAGCGGACCTCATCAACCGTATGGACCAGGTCCGGATATGGCAACAAGAATCGCAAAAGAGCAAAGGACCATTGACGTCAGTTGATCTTCTGAAAAGTTATCGTGGTGAAAGAATCGAATTTGATGAGCTGGATATGTTAAAAAAGGTTGGACATGGAGGATTCGGAGACATTTATTGCGCTAAATGGAAAGGTACTGTAGTGGGTGTAAAGAAACTGCGGGTCCAGAGAGTGTCGAAGAAACGATTACGAGAGTTTGCTTCGGAAGTGCAAGTCTTTTGTTCACTCAGCCACCCTAATATCGTCAAGTTCGTTGGCGCCTGTTGTGTGACCCCGAACATTGCTATCGTCATGGAGTTCATGGAATACTGTCTGTTTCAAATACTTCACACGCCTGTTTTTGAAGAGTCCTATCTTACGGAAGATGACAAGCTCAGCATCATTGTTCAAATATCACGTGGACTAGCATACTTGCACAATAAAAGCATCGCCCATTGTGACATCAAATCCCGCAACGTCCTCATGGATTCAAGAGAAAGTGGTTACTTAGCAAAGATTACTGACTTCGGACTTAGCATGATGCGAGGTGATTTTGATACGTCTGATCAGGTAAGAGTCAGTTAACGTCTGAATATAAAACATATTTCTGATATATGCCGTCTTTTTTTCCTGTGGAACAGGAAGATCCTGTCTCATCTTAAATCATGCACTAAAAAGATACATTATTAAGTGTCAGAGGATTGAGAGGCAATGTAACAACGGCAGGCCATCCGAATCGCGTAGGCCCGCTGTGTTTAATGCTTCCGGTAGCCTCGTTTTCGCAACGATGATCTATGACGTTTTGGATTCAGATGTATTCAACAAAACTATTCTCAAAAAATCAGAGGCACGAAGAGTTGTTTATTATAATTAGAAGCGAAATTTAGGAAAGACGCTTTATAGTACTATTTAATAAATTAGTGATTATCAAGTCTTACCTTAACATGAAACAGCGCACGATTCTGCAAGATGAATAAGAACACTACTTTTACTAGAATGTTCAATGGACTGTATTGGGTTTGGCAAATAAGTACATTAGATGTACTAATAATTCGGTTATTTATTCAATTCCATAACTTGTACCGGGATACTGGCAACACTAGTTGAGTTGTTTTTCTGGTGAGTTACCTTTCGTTGTGAATGTCGCGAAGTATAATTCTCATTCGATCACGAGCACTTACCATTATCAGAAACAGACACAAACATGTCTAATGATGTATTTTCCCCGCTCATTTAAGCTTTTATGACAAGTGCATGTGACTTGATTCAATAGTTGCATTTATATGACACGTGTCATAATGGTTGATTCATTTTTCTTTGAAATTATCATAAGTTGATATTTTTACTCTTAACAGGTGCGAAAAATCGGAACCCCTCGTTATTCTGCCCCTGAAGTACTGCGCGGGGAACTGTTAGACTGGAAGGCTATGATGAGAGCCGATGTTTACTCTCTTGGTCTTGTGATATTCGAGATCATCTCGGAAGATGAACCATTTGATTCCCTAAATGCGAAACAAATAGAACGATGTGTTGGACACGGGGATAAAACACCCATGTTCGGAACTGACGTAGATGAAAATCTAGAGGAAGACGTTAAAGAATGCTGGAGCAGGAATCCTCGTCTCCGACCGTCTGCGTCAAGTGTCCGTGATTCAGCGGAACTGTGGGAGACTCTGTACATGTGAAAATCTTTGGTGACACTAGGACAAGCATGAACATCTCTTATTACAAGTCTGATTTACAAGAACACGTTGAACAAATTGAATACGACAATGCTTCAAAGGTGATATGAGAGTCATACAATTCAATTATATCATGTAGATGTTGAAAACTATCGATAGAGTTATTGAGGACTATTGACCTGCATGTAGATGTTGAAAACTATCGATAAAGTTATTGAGGACTATTGACCTACATGTAGATGTTGAAAACTATCGACCAAGTTATTGAGGACTATTTCCATACATGTAGATGTTGAAAACTATCGATTAAGTTATTGAGGACTATTGACCTATATGTAGATGTTGAAAACTATCGACCAAGTTATTGGGGACTATTGACCTACATGTAGATGTTGAAGACTATCGACTAAGTTATTGGGGACTATTGACCTACATGTAGATGTTGAGACTATCGACCAAGTTATTGGGGACTAGTGACCTACATGTAGATGTTGAAAACTATCGACCAAGTCATTGGGGACTATTGACCTACATGTAGATGTTGGAAACTATCGACCAAGTTATTGAGGACTATTGACCTACATGTAGATGTTGAAAACTATCGACCAAGTTATTGGCGACTATTGATCTACATGTAGATGTTGAAGACTATCGATAAAGTTATTGAGGACTATTTACCTACATGTAGATATTGAAAACTATCGATAAAGTTATTGGGAACTATTGATCTACATGAAGATGTTGAAAACTATCGATAAAGTTATTGAGGACTATTGACCTACAGGTAGATGTTGAAGACTATCGACCAAGTTAGTGGGGACTATTGACCTACATGTAGTTGTTGAAAATTATCGATAAAGTTATTGAGGACTATTGTCCTACAGGTAGATGTTGAGACTATCGACCAAGTTAGTGGGGACTATTGACCTCCATGTAGAAGTTGAAAACTATCGACCAAGTCATTGGGGACTATTGACCTACATGTAGATGTTGGAAACTATCGACCAAGTTATTGAGGACTATTGACCGACCTGTAGATGTTGAAGACTATCGTCCAAGTTATTGGGGACTATTGACCAACATGTAGATGTAAAAAACTATCGACAAAGTTATTGGGGACTTTTGACCTACATGTAGATGTTGGAAACTATCGACCAAGTTATTGGGTACTATTGACCTACATGTAGATGTTGAAGACTATCGACCAAGTTATTGGGGACTATTGACCTACGTGTAGATGTTGAGACTATCGACCAAGTTAGTGGGGACTATTGACCTACATGTAGATGTTGAAAACTATCGACCAAGTTATTTGGGACTATTGACCTACATGTAGATGTTGAAGACTATCGATAAAGTTATTGGGGACTATTGACCTACACGTAGATGTTGAAAACTATCGATAAAGTTATTGGTGACTATTGACCTACCTGTAGATGTTGAAGACTATCGACCAAGTTATTTGGGACTATTGACCAACATGTAGATGTTGAAAACTATCGATAAATTTATTGAGGACTATTGACCTACATGTAGATGTTGAAGACTATCTACCAAGTTATTGGGGACTATTGACCTACCTGTAGATGTTGAAGACTATCGACCAAGTTATTTGGGACTATTGACCAACATGTAGATGTTGAAAACTATCGATAAATTTATTGAGGACTATTGACCTACATGTAGATGTTGAAAACTATCGACCAAGTCATTGGGGACTATTGACCTACATGTAGATGTTGAAAAGTATCGATAAAGTTATTGAGGACTATTGACCTACACGTAGATGTTGAAAACTATCGATAAAGTTATTGGTGACTATTGACCTACATGTAGATGTTGAAGACTATCTACCAAGTTATTGGGGACTATTGACCTACCTGTAGATGTTGAAAACCATCGATAAAGTTATTGAGGACTATTGACCTACACGTAGATGTTGAAAACTATCGATAAAGTTATTGGGGACTATTGACCAACATGTAGATGTAAAAAACTATCGATAAAGTTATTGAGGACTATTGACCTACATGTAGATGTTGAAAATTATCGATAAAGTTATTGAGGACTATTAACCTCCCTGTAGATGTTGAAGACTATCGACCAAGTTATTGGAGACTATTGACCTACGTGTAGATGTTGAGACTATCGACCAAGTTAGTGGGGACTATTGACCTACATGTAGATGTTGAAAAGTATCGATAAAGTTATTGGGGACTATTGACCTACATGTAGATGTTGAAAAGTATCGATAAAGTTATTGGGGACTATTGACCTACACGTAGATGTTGAAAACTATCGACCAAGTTATTGGGGACTATTAACCTACTTGTAGATGTTGAAAACTATCGACCAAGTTATTGAGGACTATTGACCTACCTGTAGATTTTGAAGACTATCGACCAAGTTATTGGGGACTATTGACCAACATGTAGATGTTGAAAACTATCGATAAAGTTATTGGGGACTATTGACCTACATGTAGATTTTGAAGACTATCGACCAAGTTATTGGGGACTATTGCCCTACTTGTAGATGTTGAAAACTATCGACCAAGTTATTGAGGACTATTGACATACATGTAGATGTTGAAAACTATCGATAAAGTTATTGGGGACTATTGACCTACACGTAGATGTTGAAAACTATCGACCAAGTTATTGGGGACTATTGACCAACATGTAGATGTAAAAAACTATCGATAAAGTTATTGAGGACTATTGACCTACATGTAGATGTTGAAGACTATCGACCAAGTTATTGGGGACTATTGACCAACATGTAGATGTTGAAAACTGTCGACCAAGTTATTGGGGACTATTGACCTACATGTATATATTGAAAACTATCGACCAAGTTATTGGGGACTATTGACCTACTTGTAGATGTTGAAAACTATCGACCAAGTTATTGGGGACTATTGACCAACATGTAGATGTTGAAACTATCGACCAAGTTATTTGGGACTATTGACCTACATGTAGATGTTGAAGACTATCGACCAAATTAAAGGGGACTATTGACCTACATGTAGATGTTGAAGACTATCGATAAAGTTATTGGGGACTATTCACCAACATGTAGATGTTGAAACTATCGACCAAGTTATTGAGGACTATTGACATACATGTAGATGTTGAAAACTATCGATAAAGTTATTGAAGACTATTGACCTACATGTAGATGTTGAAGACTATCGACCAAGTTATTGAGAACTGTTGACCTACATGTAGATGTTGAAACTCTCGACCAAGTTATTGAGGACTATTGACCAACATGTAGATGTTGAAGACTATCGACCAAGTTATTGAGGACTATTGACATACATGTAGATGTTGAAAACTATCGATAAAGTTATTGAGGACTATTGACCTGCATGTAGATGTTGAAAATTATCGATAAAGTTATTGAGGACTATTGACCTACATGTAGATGTTGAAAACTATCGACCAAGTTATTGGGGACTATTGACCTACCTGTAGTTGTTGAAAACCATCGATAAAGTTATTGAGGACTATTGACCTACATGTAGATGTTGAAGACTATCGACCAAGTTATTGGGGACTTTTGACCAACATGTAAATGTTGAAACTATCGACCAAGTTATTGGGGACTATTGACCTACATGAAGATGTTGAAACTATCGATAAAGTTATTGAGGACTATTGACCTACATGTAGATGTTGAAGACTATCGACCAAGTTATTGGGGACTATTGACCTACATGTAGATATTGAAAACTATCGATAAAGTTATTGGGGACTATTGACCTACATGAAGATGTTGAAACTATCGATAAAGTTATTGAGGACTCTTTATATACATGTATATATTTAAGACTATCGACCAAGCTATTGAGGATTATTAACCATCTATTGAGAAATACTAACCTAGCTGTTGAAAACTATTGACTTAGTTAGTTTTGGACTATGATTTAGTTATAGAGGACATCTGATGTAATGATAAAGGATTAAGTTAGGACTATGATTTAGTTATGGAGGACATCTGATGTAATGATAAAGGATTAAGTTAGAACTATGATTTAGTTATAGAGGACATCTGATGTAATGATAAATATTAAGATTTGAATGATGTTGTCCTAGTTACTTGTTATTGATGACTATCGACCTACTTATTACAGATTGTTGACCTACTTATCGCGTAATGTTGACATACTTATTGAGGATTGTTGACCTAAATATTGAGGACTATTGACCAGACTGCGCTAACCTATATCACAAACACCTGGTATGAGGCTATAGACAAAGGTATTTTGACAGGTGTTCTATTTCTTGATTTACGAAAGGCATTCGACCTTGTAAACCACTCTATTTTAGTGTCTAAATTGGAATTGTATGGGTGATCATCCAAAACAATGATCTTTTTTCAAAGTTATTTGAGCGGGAGATTTCAAATTTTAAACTTTAAGAACACTTTGAGTGATACTCTCCCTCTTACATTCGGTGTCCCTCAAGGGTCGATATTGGGGCCACTTTTGTTCATTTTATATATAAATGACCTGCCCCTGATAACAAATCAAAGTTTTTTGTATATGTACACTGATGACACCGCAGCGCAATCGCAAGGAAAATCATTTGACATTGTATATACCAACCTCAATGCTGATGCAAAATAAGTGTCAAACAAAATGTGTGTAAACACAGAAAAAAACGAAAGTTATGCTTGTTACAACAGAAGAATGGTCCGTTGTTATCAACAATATAAACATTGAAAATGTAAAATGTGAAAAACTTTTGGGAGTGTCCATAGATGATTGTCTCTTTTGGAACATTCAATTTACAGGTGAAAAAGCTGAGACCCTTCTTGAGCCAGTCATCTTGTATGACCTTTTTTAACTGCTTTGTTAACCCACATCTGGATTATAGCTCAACTGTTTGGGATAACAGTTAAAACAATGATATCATAAAATTAGAACGCCTGCAAAAGAGAGCAGATAGAATTATTTTAAAATGTGATTTTTCCACACCTGCCTGTGATATGTTCAAAAAATTCACAAAAGCATTTTATACAATCAAGTAGTTTTTATGTACAAGATACTTCATACTTTAGCTCCACAAAATTTGAATGATTTTACGTATATGTCTGATGTTAAGGGTAGAACTACAAGATCATCGTCTACCAATGTGTTTTACTTGCCATGTCATAAAACAAACATTTTTAGAAAATCTTTTAAATATCAGGGACCCCTTACGTGGAATCTTTTACCAAGTCACATTAGAAAGTGTACTTTATTTTTAGAATTTAAGAGATCTACAAAGCAATTTTACTTGAAATGATTTATGCTTTCCTCCCTTATCCTGTATTTTATACATATATATTTTTTTAAGCTGTAAATATTGTACATTTTATCATGCGTTGTATCCTGACCATATGTAAGATGAGCTTCATGCTCAATACGTTATCAAGAATAAATAAAACCTTTATATTACAATTAGTGATTTGTGAGTTTGGACCTTGCTATTAAGGTCTGTTGACATATTAATTGAGGACCTTTGACCTAGCTGCTCATAACCGTATGTCTTACTGATCGAGGTCTTTTTAAAAAAACGAATATTTGCTTCTGGCCTCTTCAAAGCTTTTTTCAACTTTTCTTTGGATGCAAAATACTTTTACAGTGTATGTGTTTGGTAATCTGTAAACAAAAAATATATTTAAACACTAGTCAGCATGTTTTTTTTCTATCTGAATTTAATACGACACATCTTATTTGTTTTTATGAAGTACATAATAAAGATATTTTTTGGATTTAATTTGCTTCATCCAAACCATATGTGAAACACCCAAATGTATACTGTATATACACGTACCTACGATCTCAGTCGTGTCTGTAAAAGATTAATTGGGTAATATACGTAGCTATATGTCAAAACTTAAATGTTCCATATCCACAGTAAATCAATATTTAAAAACAAAAAAGTTTAAGTGTGCCATAACATATAGCTCATACATAAAGAAGTTTAATGAAAACCTACCAAACTAGCTGATATGATTTTTTAATTTTCTTGTTCTTTTGCATCTTCGATTTCAATTACACGCTTGAGTAAAGCTGGCATGTAACCAGTTAAAACACAAGTGATGCGGACAACCTTTTTATGATTGGCAGGTAGGGTGGAGCATATGAGTAGAACGCGCGTGCAGACTCTCTCTCTCTATGACAGAAGCTACACGCGAAAGCATTCCCTAACAAGTGAAAGGTACTAGAGAGCGTGCTTTCAATAATGGGGTATGTCTGACTTATACTGTTACCTATTACGTTATCAATCGAAAGTATCACACATAACATGTACGTGTTGCTTCGTGCCCACTATACAGATAAATCAGAACGGGCACAATGAAATATTGAGTTCAATAAGCTGCACGGTATACACACAGGTACAGGTAGAGCGATACTGAGATATCAGCAGTAGCGGGCATTGTTAGACATCGGCATATAGACATATTTTCTCCAGCGCTCGACTTATTATCGCTGCCACAGTAGAAACACTGATTTTCTGTCAGGCCAAGCTTTTCAGCATGGTTTCCAAATGTCGTCAACACTTTAAGCAAATATCAAAGTACGTTTTCTCAAGGCGTCAATGGGGGTGGGGAGGGGTGGGGGAAATAAATGTGACAAATTGAGCATTACCAAGTTGTTTTAATTAGTTCTATTTTTTAAAATGGGTTTATTTCAACCTATGCGTTCATATGTATATGCGATGCTGGTTACATCTATCCTGAGGTAGTAAATGTCAGGAGCGGTCAACTGCATGGTATGCATGGCAAACGCTAGTGGACTTAGGAAACATATACATTTTATCTCAAGTCTCCAATGGTCGGCACAAACATATTGTTCATAACAGCTTTATAGACCTTATAAGACATGACAGCAGTAGGAAATGTAATATTCTTTGTAGTTGGATAGCAAGATAACGTGGTAAATATGTAAATACTAGAGTCTGGTTTTGGATACAGTACTATTAGGGGTTGTGATACTGATTAAGCGAGCAGAGTTTCCACGTCATAGATGCCAGATATATGGTTTTAATGCAGGGATTCAGACACAACACTGACGTAATTTAAGACGGACGAGTGAGATGCAACGCTGGCGTTATTAAGACGGACGATTGAGACACAATGTGGAACAATGACAAATGGTCCTTGTTCGAATCTTACCTTCTGTATTGGTGACAGAAAGAGTGATGATATTAGATGTTGCGAATCCATACCAACACTGATAGTCTCCTTTATCATTAGAATTATAATTTGAGATCGTCATCGAAAACCTGTTGTTGGCACTATCGATAGTTTCTGTATACTTAGCAGCATCTGTGGATACTCCGTTACCGATAAGCGTTGCTGTGCCAGGCCCAATCCATTGCCTTAATACATTTGGATTCCAAGCTGCAGAGAATATGCAATTAAATGTTCCAGGAAAATTTTCAATAAAGGTGCCTTCTGTTTCCAGTGAAGCTGTAATAGACAACGAGACAATATATATTACACGTATCTCTTTATCATATAATCTTATGAACATATTAGGGTTAATCTGAAAATTTGAGTTTTTCTCATGGAAACCTATTTTTATTTTAGATTTTAGGACATTTCTCAATCACCTAACCAACAATATACCAGACAGCATTTCAAAGAGTCAGCCATGTGTTCATGATCAAATCAATTTTACATGATTATGTACATATTTGCATGGTCAATGAAAGTCTTTAGAAGTTGTTCTTAATTTTCAAAACGTTTGACTCATGAGAAATTAAACAATTGTAAAAAAAAATCTGTTTTTTATCAAGAGGTCCTGAGGGCCTGTATTGCCTACCTGGATACAATACGTTAGCAGTCCTTGACTCTCAGAACCCAGGAGGAATACTATCCTTTTCTTAATAGCATTTTATAAACAATAATGTTCCATTAAAAGTTTGTTCAAATAAATAATCCTGACCAACTTTGAGGATCATATGGCAAAATAAAATAACAAGAGTACCAAACTAATGGAAAATATACGCCCATCTATGCGAAATCGACACATTTTTTCTGATGCATTCTTGTATTGACATGTAGCAACTACATTGAAACAATATTTGAAGGTTAATACTTTCTGTGACATGGTGAAAAGAGAAATTATGTTGCTCTCTTTCCACTGCTAAATGATTATATATTTCTAATATAGTGTTAATACGTTTAAAAACAAGAGGTCTTAGGGGCCTGAAGATGTTTACCTGTTCAACGCGGACTTTCCTTTCACATACTTCAAAGAAAGCTACATTATGACTCAATGTCTTGATAGTTCTTCAGAACTCGATAGATTATTTTAAACCAATTTGATCCATATGACCTTGATTATATAGGTCAGAGCTCTTCTTTTGATATAAAATTGTAGGATAGATAGAAACTTCAAAACATTTTGCTAATGCTTTCTTATTTACAACACATATCGACAACAAACTTTTATTGCCAAAATCTAAAATCCCTGCCCTTCATTCATCTTGCTTTTCATTACAGTCTCATATGAAACATGCTCAACTCATGATCACAGGAATCTGCCGAGGAAGAAGATTAAGTTATATTATTCCACTGCTACTTAAGAATAGCAATAACAAACAAAATAACCACATGGCGGCCATGTACAGAGAAGGATCAAAGAAACCCATTTTTAAAACTTGAGAACAATCTATCTATTGCTTCCTGAAAATAGCGATTACAATGGTTTATCTATGATCCTGAACGTAGGTCAAGGTCATTCACACTTGGAAACTCCTTAAATCAATGCCAATATTGCTGACCAAATTTCAGAACCCATAGGTTTATGGAACTTCGAAGTAGATGCTTAGAACTTTTTATTCCTAATACACAATGTTGACAACTGTCAGAACTTGATTTACCAAGGAGGTAGAATTGAAAATAGTTATATCAAAATACAAAATTACAATGGAACGTATTATTTCCAACACAGTTCTTTTTGACATACATTTGAATGAAGTGTTTATGATGTCTTTTGCAATGACATGGAAAACAATTGACATTGTATCGAGCTCGTTTTATTTATATATCAGAGATTAACAAATATTTATTGATAAGCATTTACCCCCTGGTTGCACTCTAATTCCAAATCAGCTTGCATGAGTACAGCTTGTGTAGTATAACTGATTATGGTAAAAAGTTATGTAGTAAACTCAGAAAGTACCAAACATTCGTTTGGGAGGGGACGGGGGGTGGGGTGGGGATGAGAGAGTGGGATGGGGGTTGGGGGTATTACCAGTTTGAGCATCAATCGGAAGCACTGTCTGTTGCAAGAACAGGAAATGTAGTAATATCAGGACGCCTTCCATCACCTAAAACAAAACAATAAGTTCAGAAGACAGCATGACTATATTGTACTAAAAAGAATGGATTTTTTTCACGTTGTGGCCCTTTAAACTGATCATGGTGCGGATACTTTCTGTATGGCAATAGTTCTAAAATATATAAATATATATTACATCTATAATCATTACAGTCTATAAATAAATATAGGCTCTCGGTTAACTTCATACATTTGTACTCATTGCGAAAACGCGAATATATATATACCTCGAAAATGTCCACTTATACAATAAATAAAGGGTCCAGTAGGTCACTTCATTGAACTGAAAAATAGACGATTAAAATCTTTGATTTAACCACATGAACATATGAACTAAAGACAATTAGACAATAAGGGTCTTAGAAACACAGTAGATTAAAGTGTTCATCGAATCAAGGGAAAATGTGGATTATCTGTACCTCAGAGGACATTTCATAAAGGTACGATTAGCAATATATTATTAGGAAGGTACTAGGAAACGACAAGTTGTTAGGAATAGAGAGAAATATATATATCTTCTTAGAGGGGTGCAATGGATGCAGCAGCTGTATTTTTGTCGTTTTTGTACCCCGAAGTAGAAGACACAAAATCGAATCCCTTATTCTGCAGGGGGTTTCCACACTAGTTTTATCTTACATCATGTAGTGGATAACAGTAGCTATATCTCACTCCAATCCTCGACCTTCATGGTGGTCACAGTGTTTGCTATACAAACACTTTTATTATAAAGATATGCATAATCAACATTTACCCAACTATCAATTTGACATTATCTTTAGCAATCTTTAATATGTACAGGTACATTTCCAGCGAAGCAGGATTCGATATGAATCAAAACCCAACCTTTGTGTATGAGGACCAGTACAAAAAAGGACAAAAGCACTTACAATGTAATTACTATAAATCGAGGCATACATGTATACTATGTTACATTTAAACACATCTTATCTTAACGAATAAAAAAAAGGGGGGGGGGGAGGGGATATTCCGTCTTTGCGTATTGCAGAGTTATCTTCTCTTGGGAACAAGTATTGATTGTTACGTCATAGGTCTGTGTGAGAAAATTACGTCGTTTTCCCAAAAATTGATGACGTTACTCTCACAAACAAGTGACGTAACAAGCAATACCTGCTCCCAAGATAAGATAACTCTGCAATACGTAAAGACGGAATACTTTCAACATGGCAAGAAAATATAAATTGGAATAGGTCATGTCTTAATTATTTGCTTGTTCTTTGTCGTTAATAGATTAATCAGTCGTATTTATTAATAACTTCTATTCTATGGCAGTTCCACGTCTGCCGAATGTGCCCACAACTACAGATCAAGGGGAACCTTCGTATCAAATATGACAAATTTCTGTCACGTACTTCTTGAAAAATGGCTATTACAAACTATAACTGTCCAAATCATAGATGGCTGTCTGACGGCTATCTTGTTTTTAGGATCAGACTCAAAATCAAGCATGCATAAGCATGGAACTCCAGAAAGATTCATCTAGTATTTCTTGAGAAAAAACGATACAAAATTGTTTAAGGATGAACCACAGACCAAGTACGATTGTATAAGTCCATCTGATGACAGTAGGCTGAAACGTTGACACCGGACACTCATCGGACAACGGATGAGCCGTAAAACAATACAGAAAACAAAACAGACAATATATAAACCATATCGCTCTAATGTTAACTTACCTTAGCTTGTACAGACACTTCGGATGTTCTTAATGTAACTTGAATTTCTGTATTTTTGTGCTCGGCAAACGTTCTGTGCGCGTTGAAAAATGAAACTATTCTCTCAAAGCACTGTTCACAGTCTTAAATAACCAGCAATACACACTCCTCTCGTGAACAATTTATAAGCAATAACGTCATAAAACACTTGAGTGTTTCTATTTATTTGATTTAAACATATTTTTATTTGCATCTAATATACAAAAGGGATCGGGCACAAGTTGTCCAACTTATGTAAAGCCCTTTCCCTATAACATAATGAAATATATATATACAAGATGGCAATTTTTAAATTAATTAATATTTTCAATTAAGTTTAGTGTTACTGACAGACTGA